GCACTCTAAATGTATAACATACAATTTTTGGGCAGTTTTCACCTAAACCCAAATTTCCCCCTTTTTGGGGTTATTTTTGACCATGTTTCCCCCCCGTTTTGGGGGCCCCATAAAGCGTTTGTCGCTAATGGTTGACTACCCCAGCTAGCCAAACCAACCCCCCCCAGCCTTTATGCTGGGGTGACCCCCTTACCTTTTTGGCTGCCCTTCCCACAAGGCCTTTTACCCCCTTTAAACCAAATTGCCCTACCAAATAACGGGTGGCACGGTGGGGGTTTTGGAACCTCTCCACAGATTAAATTTGGGGAATGATGTGCAGGGAGAAAAACCACTGCATGAAAAACCCAAACATTGAGTTGGAAATGCCCAAACAACCACAGCATACCACAGCAAAAACTCACTGGACGTGGTAAGAGCCTTGAGACAGCCAGCCATATTCTTCACTCTCCTTTCACGTTTTTTTCAAATGTCTCTGGTGTCTCATCTCCCCTTCCTCTCTGACCATTTCATGCCCATCCTTTAAAAACCCCACTCAAACTTTCATACATTTCTTTTACTGCTTGAACTTGTTTTGGGTTTTTTGCCCTTTCCGGGAAAACAGTACAGAACGCTTGCAAAACCCCCCACCCCCACACACACCCACCACACACCCCACACCCCACACACCCACCCACACCCACCACCCAAAGCAAACACACACAATTAAAAGTCACTGTTACATTTCACTTTTTAGTCTACACATGTTGTTTACAAAGCATGTGAAAAATACAATTTGATTTAACACCCACACACACGTAACAGATACACCCCCCACAAAAGCACGAAAACAAAACAGATACTTGTGAGAAAAGGTTTGATGATGAGGGGTGATGCTTGGTTACTGTCTCCCTCTGGAACAACACCCGATTATGAATTCAGTTTTGTGTTAAGCGGGGGAACCCCTTTTAATGTATTGCTTGTATTCATCCCCCAGACCCTTTGAAATTAGCTCTTTAAAATCCAACAGGGAAGTCAGATACGTAAATTTTCGTATCATGTAATTCTGTTTACACTATAATGCTAAGACATCCGTTTTAAAACCCTACAGTAGATGTCATGGGGGTTTTTAAAATCTCCCTCCCCTTTTCCCCTCCCGAAGAAATAAACCCTGGGGGAGTGAAGATTTCGAAACGGCCACCCCGGAGGGCCCCCAAACCCTAAGATCGGCCCCTTTTCCCCCCCTCCCTCTCCACACTGAGACCCCCCTGGCCTCGGGGGCCCCCCAACGGGCCCCCACGCCCCCTCCACCCCCCTCGCCCCCCCCGGGCCTCCGAGTTCCCTCTGTGCCCAAAGGGCCGCCCAGAAAAGTCAGCCCCCCGAAAACCTTTTACCCTCCCCCACCCCAAACAAGGGACTCAGCTTCAGGCTGGGTAGTTTCTTCTCCTGGGGGTCAACCCCAGCCCCCCCTGAATGGGGGGTGGGCCCCCGGGAGTAGTAAACACCTATCCTTTCATTCAGGGGTTTCCCATGAAAATCCATTTTTTCCCTATTTTAAAATTAAGGTAAAAAGGGGGGGGGCAAAGAAATCCAATAAATTTGGGGGTTTAAAAGGCCCTTTTCCAAATGAAAAAGGGGGGGGGATCAAAGGGGGAAAAATAAAGGGGGCACCAAAAAAAATTTTGGTTTCCGGGGAAAGAGGGTAAAAAATTTAAACCATGGGAAAACGGGGGGCCAAAAAAAACCAAATTTTAAGGGGGGAAACAAGGGGAAAAAAAAAAGAGGGGTTTTTTAAAAAAAAAAACCCACCAACGCCTCGAAAAAAACTAATAAAAACCAAAAGAAGGGGAAAAAAACCAGTGATTTTAAAAGGGAACAACCCCAAAAAAGTGTTCCCGGGTTAAACCAAGGGAAAGGAAAGGGTTTTTTTTCCTAAAAACAAAGAAGGGCAGAAAAATAAATTTTAAAAAAAAAATCCGGGGGCCCCAAAAATCTTTTAAAAAAAATTGGGGGGATAAAAAGGGGGGGGGGTTTATAAATTGGGGGGGGGGTTGGGGAAAAAAGGAATTCAAAAAAAAAAAAAAAAAAAAATTTTCAAAAAAAAAAATTTTCCCTTTCTCCTCTTTTTCAACCCAAATGGGCCCCCTCTTATTTGGGGGGGGTTGGAAAAATTGGGGGCAAAAACCAAAAAAAAAAAGGTTTTTTCAAAAATTCTTTAAAAAAAAAAAAAAATTGGTTGGGGTTTGGTTGGGGGGGTTGGGTCCATTTCAAAAAAGGTTTCTGGGGTTGTAAAGGGGGGGCCGGGGGGGAAAAAATGAAAAAAAAAAAATTAAAAAATAAAAACGGTGGGGGTTTCAAGGGGAAAAAGGGGGTTTAAAAATTTTTTTAAAACCTGTGGGGGGGTTTTTTTTTGGGGGGGAAAAAAAAAAAAATTTTAAATTTGAAATTTTTCCCGCCCCGGGGGGGTTAAATTTCCCCCCTATTGGTAAAAAATTTTTTCCTTTAAAATTCATTAAAGTCCTTTCAAAAAAAACCCCCCCAATTGGCCAATTGTGTTTAAAAACTTCCCCTTTTTGGAAAAAAGGAAAAAGAAGGTTTTATTTAAAAGAATTTTTAAGGTTTTTTGGAGGTTTTTTTTTTCTCTTTTCCTGATCCTGTTTTTTTCTTTTGGGATAAGGGGGTTTTTTTTTTTTCCCAGGGGTTGGTTCCCTTTAAAATTTTTTTAAATTTTTTATAACAAAAAATGGCAATTTTTTTTGGTTTTTTGGAATTTAAAACCAAGCCTCTTGGCTTTTAATTTTTTAAAAAACTGGGGGGGGAAATGGGATTTTTTGGAACCCCTGGCTTTTTTCCCCCCTTTCTTTTTTTAAAAAAGTATTTAAGGATGTTTTTTTTTCCCTTTTTTTAATACAACCCACGCAGACAAAACTTCTGATCAATGTTTGTGAGTTGGCTTTAGGGATGGTTTAAGTCATTCATTTGCAATCATGTTGTTGGTGTGTTTTATATCAAATCAATAAACGTAATATTGCTCAAACGTCTGGTGTCATTCATATAAATAAAATGACAAAATAAGTGGGGGAATTGTGATATCTGTAGTTAATCGGTTTTTTGTTTTGTTTATTAAACTGAAATGACAAATGGGTTAGGTTAGTAGGGTCTGGCCTATTAGTCTGCAACTTGCTACTTGCAGTCACTGGATGCTTTGTTGTACGTTGGAGTAGGGTCCTTGCTATCCGGAATCCTTGGGACGTCCGTACCTCATTGAAGTTGGTATGGTTAGGTAAGGGTTATGGTTAGGGTTAGGGCAAAACGCATAATACTGTGAAGCTTTCTGTATTTTGAAAGTTCTATGTCTTGAAAACTTGATTGCTGACATGCAAAACGTTACATTTTGGGACTTTATCAACAGTGGACTAATGAAACAAATACCAAACAATAGTTTTTGAATGAATTTTTCTTTAAAGGAGTATTTTGCTTTTTTACAACCAAGCCTCTATTTGTTATGTAAATGGTTGTTGTAGAAGGGTCCAGACACTTTTTTTTGTGATTTCACTTGTTTTTGAGAAACGTACCCCCAGCCAATGATTAATTTCCTCATTTTTGTTGTGCACTATGGGGCTCTGAAAACAACCTGATCAAAGGCTCCAAAAACACTTTTAGAAACAGAAAAGTATAGTGATGCAGGTCTTCACATGTTGTACACATTAAATTGTGTTATTCCTAACTTAAAATGTATTATTCCTAACTTTATCTGCAACGTTAGATTCCATTTTGTTGAGACTCGAGTGATACCTCTCCGTCCGTTCTTCATGTAACTGCCAAAATAAAAGAAGCGCGAGTAAATGAGGGATACAAAGTATATTGAAAGCATGTGCTACCACACAGGAAGTTCCAGACACCTGTAGAATCTATGCCAAGGCGCATTGAAGCTGTTCTGGCGACTTGTGGTGGCCCAACGCCCTATAAACACACTTTATGTTGGTGTTTCTTTCATTTCGGCAGTTACCTGTAGCAGCAGGCTACACAGAGAATGGAACAGCTGGATTGGGGAAGTGGCCCGAATATAAAGTTCGGAATGACACAATTTCATGCTATACTGACAGCATTTTAGTTTCTAAAAGAACGTATTTGGGTGTTTTTGGAGCATTTGTTCATGTTTTTTCAGAGCCCCCGTACTGAAAAACAAGGATGAGAAAGTATCAAGTTTTAATGTCAAATGCACAAGTACAGTGAAATGCCTTTCTTGCTAGGTCTAAACCGAACAATGCCGTAATCAATAAGAATGTAATACTAAAAATAACATAAGGTAGAACAAAAACACACGGGAAATAAAAATAAGAAATAAGAACACGAAAAGGTAAGTAAACATACAATATACAGGGTCAGTCAGTTCCAGTACCATATTTACAATATGCAGGGATACTGGAGTGATAGAGGTAGATACAGTATGTATAGGGGTAAGGTGACTAGGCATCAGGATATATGATAAACAGAGTAGCAGCAGCGTACATGATGAATGTAGGCCTATGTGAGTTGGTGTGCGCGTGTGTAGGGCCCTGTGAGCGTGCATAGAGACAGTGCAAAAATATTAAATGAATGAATCACTGGTTGCGTTAGGTTTCTCAAAAACAAGTGAAATTGCAACAACAAAAAAGTGTCTGGACACTTCTATAACATCCATTTACATTAAAAATAGAGATTTGGTTGTAAAAATAAAAAGCAAACTTCTCCCAATGTTAGGGTTTCCGGTAGGGACGTCCCAAGGATCCCTGAAAGCACTAACCATTTGAGTTGAGGCTTTTATTTTGAAGCGCTCACCGTAAAGCAACCGGAAGTACACTTTAATTGGAGCTTTGAACAATCGACGTCATTCAGCAGTCCCTGCCCATTGCTGCTGTCCCAGAGCAAGCACAAGTCTGAACTTTTCTCAAAGCCGATAGATACGAACCGGATTGATTAAGGAAAGAGTGCGAGTCAACTGCACTTTTATACTCACATTGAGGTTCATTGCAAGTGGAGTAATGTCCTTTTGTTCCTTCTTCGGTGGTGAGGTCTTTAAAGACCACTTTAAAACTGGTAAGAGGCTCCTCAGCTAGCTAAGATAGCAAGTTAGTCAGTTACAGTAGCTACAGTATTTTAGCTAACTAAACTTGTAAACATGAGATTAGTCAGTAAAATTAACTTCTACATCTGCATTGCTTGCTGTTTGGGGTTTTAGGCTGGGTTTCTGTATAAGCACTTTGTGACATCTGCTGATGTAAAAAAGGCTTTATAAATACATTTGATTTGGTTTGGTTTGGGACGTTGTGTGGCACATAACTATAAAGTCTAGCTTGCTAGTTAGTTATATTGTTAGATATCACTGGTGAATATTTTACAGTAGCCCAACTGTGTGTGTCCTAAAATTGACTGACCTAATTTATGCTCAATCAGTAGCTAACTAAAAGTAGCATGCTTTTGTAATCGCTGATTACACAAGGGCCACGTTCCGTTGCCAAACGTTTTCGAACGTTGCAGATAGAAATTCCATGAATAGAGGCTACGTGAGTCCTTCGTCTACATGTCAGAGAGCATGTTTGTTCTACATAGCTAACATATTTATATCTGGACGTTTCAAAACGTTGCGTCCTGCTGAATGCGCCCCTGGCTCTTACCAAACCATGACGGAAGCTTGAACCACCAGTGGCAGTTACACTGTAGCAACTAACTCTACTGTGCCAAGAAAACACAGGTGCTGTAAACCAAACATTAGTAGTTGCAGTAACTATAAAGTATAATTGAAAATATAAATGATATTATTTATAAGAATACAATGTAGCGCCTATACAAGTATATTTCGATCTTAAGGTTGCCACTTATGTCATCATTTCAAATGTAGGTTTTGACAAGTCATCCTTTAACATCACTCAAAGAGAATGTGTTGAACATGGATCCCTCCCCAGGGTTGATAGATAACAAACCGGTTTCCATAAGGAAATAGTGCGAGTGTAGCCGGCGCGGTCTGCTCGTTGCCGACTACTGCGTTGTGTTCCGGTGCACTGAAGACAACACACTGGCGTACTTGAAGGCACTTTATTGTGTACAACTCTCTCAATCTGTTCAACATCAAAGAGAGAAAATGTTCAAAACTCTACCCTCGACCAGAATCCGCCTCTCCCAGCCGAGTACAATGCAGACTGCGTATAATCACATTCAAAAATACAAGGAATAAAATACAACATAATTGGAAAATAAACATAGCATCTGGTGCATATCTTATGTATGTGTCATATTCATGTTATCTCTGCCAAAAACTCTGAGCTTTTAGCCTTTATATTAATACTGTGCAACATGACATAAACCATCTTTCAAATAGGTAATACATACAGTAATATGCACGAAGCAACATGTAATCCTTCACATTTGAGCTTTTCAGTGCCATTAAACACTAATCAATACATGAAAACATTTTAAATGAACACATTTTTAACCTGATATAGGGAATACATACCTGTTCAACATCAAAGAGAGAAAAGGTTCAAAACTCTACCCTCGACCAGAATCCGCCTAACATAAAAAGAACAACGTGAGCTTCGTCACAAGAGGATAGAATGATGATTGCTAACTTACAGCTAAACAGAACACGAGGTTAGCTAAGTTAGCAATTTCTCAACTCTCAAAAATGGCTAAATTCACGACACAGCTTGATTTAAATGTACGTACACTCATCATATAATATACATACAAGTTACTATGTGCACTGAAACGTTTTAGTTTTAACAGGTATATCAAGTTTATATCACGCCGAAGTGAACACATACCTCTCCCAGCCGAGTACAATGCAGACTGAGAAAAGCATGACCTCCCTCCGCATATAACCAAACCAACTCTAGAGGGCGCACTTACACAACTAACTCTCCCAATATCTGTAGACTACACGAAATGCTGAACAATACAATATTTTGGTGAAATCAACTCACAAAATAAAATAAAAAATAGAAAATGAACGGTTGCAAAAATCTGTAATTCTTTGACCTGTTACCTTCACCCCTCTTTAATTTCACCAAAATCCTTCACACTTCGAGGGTGGAAAATAACCAAAAACATATAGAATAAAACTCTTGTCCACTTGGTCCAAGATAGCCCTGGGACTCCATTTCCCATATACAGCGTATAAAGCTACTTACAAAGTAAGTTAAAAGAAAACAGCAGTTGATCAGGCTACTGCCCCTTCTAGTGAATATGATGCCTTATACATCATATGAAATCTTGGAACACTTTCCCTCCATTATGAACATCTCATGACCCAGGTCATACTACTGGTAATAAAGAAAAATATCTTAATCTCAAAAATGTATCTAAAATAAAGAACGGAAAGATAGTGACCTTCTGACTCCTGTAACAAAACCCTTGGTGAGTGGTTTTTGCACCATGTTCTCTATCAAGCGATCGACTGCCTTAACAACCCTGCCAGTACGTGTTCTGACAACCTGACTTTCAAACCCTTGTACTTGGGAGGGTATCTGACTATCAATCAGTGTAACAGGTGAATTGACGTCCGAAGACCCTGTCTCATCTAAGTCAGGAACATCAACTGGGGCAACAGAGTCAGTGTCAGTCATGTGCAAATCAGGGGGGTCACTAGAATCCGACAAGTCTCTCACAGGTGAGTATTCATTTTCCCCTTGGCCTCTGACCTCTTTAGACTGGGCTCTCGTGGGTGTCAGTTGAACAGACTTCCTGGACAGAGAGTGGGGCGTCTCATTCTCCATCTCACACTCATCAGCTTCTCCAATAGACTCAGAGTCAGAGGATGCGTTTAACCACGAACATGTACGGTCCTCAGAAGCATCTACTGCTAGGCCACTCAAAGCATCAACAGAAGGAGGCTGAAACTCACTGGCCACATCCGAGGCAGCTCCATTCGTCTCTTCATCGCTTAGTTCTGGCATGGGCAAGAAGCTCACGTCCAACATCAAATTCCGATGAACAACTTTTGTTTTCCCACTTTCGTCCCTGACTTTGTAAACGTGAGTCTGAGGGTTCCGGTCTATGATGGTATACATAGTGGCTTCCCACTTATCCGCTAACTTCCTCTTCCCTCTCTCTGCTTTATTAGCTAACAAAACTCGGTCGCCAACGTTCAAGTGGGTTCCACGAACTCTCTTGTTGTAGCCATCAGCTTGATGTTGCTGTCCTTTCCTCGCATGCTGCTGAGCTATGTCGGCAGCCACATGGAGGTTCGCCATCAGTTTCTCTGCATAGGTCTTATAATTCACCACGACTGGATCCCTCAAGACTTGTTTGAAGACCATGTCTACTGGGAGTCTGGGGACTCGACCATACATCAAATAGAATGGAGGATATCCAGTTGTTTCATGAGTGGTGGCATTATACGCAAAGGTCAAAGTCTGTATCTGTTGGGCCCAGTGTTGCTTAGCTGTCAGGGGTAGGGCACGCAACATACTGCCAAGTGTCCTATTGAACCTTTCGGTTTGCCCATTTCCCATGGGATGGTATGCTGTTGTGTGTGTTTTCTTAATCCCTGTGAGGCTGAGGAGTTCAGCTATGAGTTTGCTTTCAAAATTGGCCCCTTGATCAGAATGTATTCGCTCTGGGAAACCGTAGATGCAGAATACGTTATCCCATAACTTCTTTGCTATTTGCTTTGCAGTTTGGTTTATGCAGGGAAAGGCATGAGCCAATTTTGTAAAGTGGTCTGTTATGACTAACACATCGACAGATCTTTGCTTAGAGTCCTCAGCACTCCAAAAATCAATGCACACCAGCTCCATGGGTGCCGAAGTGCGAATGCTCTCCAAGGGAGCTCGGGCAGCTGGTTCAGGGGTCTTTGCAAGGATACAGCGTTGGCAGCATTTCACATATTCCTTGATGTCTCTTCCCATTTGCGGCCAGAAGAAACGCTGTCGGGCGAGGTGTGCTGTTCTAGCCTGCCCTTGATGCCCAGCGAAGTCATGCACACCAGCGAGAGCTTTGGCCTTCAAGCTAGCAGGCAGCACAAACTGATACCTCTTCTCTCTGCTTAATGGGTCTTTGGTTACCCTATATAGGACTCCGTCCTGGACTTTTAGATGATGCCACTGCTTGCACAGTGTCTGGGTCGTAAGAGCTAACCTCCTCCTCCCTCGCCTAGGTGGTGGCTCACCCCTCTGAATGAGTGGCAGGACTTCCCTGATAACTGGATCTATTTCCTGGCTGTGCCTCAGCTCGCCGATGGAGAGGGCTGGAAGTGTGTCTTGTTCTGAGGGCACCGCCTGGGGAAGAACATTGAGAAACTGTGTTGCTCTTATCTCTGCTCCCCTTTCCCACTCTACATGAGCTTCACAAGCAGATTTCACATGAGAGGGTTCTTGACTGCCGGCCAGCCTGTCTTGAGTGGGGTCTATAGTTACATAGCACCCTGCATCAAGTGCCTGGAGACACTGGGTCTTACTCCGGAAGAGATCTTGGACTTTCTCCTCTTTGGTTCCCTCCGCCTCGGCCAAAAGACTTCCATAGGGCTCACTGATCAACCTTTGGCTCACTGATTTAGCAAACGGATCTCTACTCAGGGCATCTGCCACAATGTTCTTTACCCCAGGAATGTGTTTGATACTGAAGGTGTAGGGGGAAAGCTTTGCCACCCACCTCTGTTCGCAAGCGTCAAGTTTTGGTTTGGTCATTATATAGGTCAAAGGATTATTGTCGGTCCACACTGTAAAAGTGTGGCCTTTCAACCAGTGGCTGAATTTTTCACAAACACTCCATTTGAGCGCCAAGAACTCCAGTCGGTGAGCAGGATACCTCTTTTGTGAGCCAGTGAGGGTCTTGCTGGCAAAGGCGATCGGGCGTGCCTTCGTTTCTCCTTCTGGTATCTGGGACAGAACTGCCCCAAGGCCATCAAGAGACGCATCAATGGACAAAACCAAGGGCTTAGAAAAGTCTGGATGGCTAAGGACCACACAATTCAGGAGCTTCTCCTTAAGGCCGGCGAAAGCGGAATCGCAGTCAAGGGTCCAATCCGCAGGTTTGAGCTTTCTGTAGACTCCCGCATTCTGACTGTACTTCCCGGCCTTTCCTCTCCGTTTCTGGCCAGCTGTGAGAGCAAACAGGGGTTTTGCGATGGAGGAGCAATTTGGTATGTAGTGTTGGTAATAAAATACCATCCCCAGGAACGACTTCACTCTGTGAACTGAAGGAGTGCAGCCATCATCTTCCATCAGGTCCCTCTTTGACATTTTGGTGATGACCTCGACCTTCTCTGGGTCAACAGCAACACCGTCACTGTCAACGATGTGTCCGAGAAACTTCACAGATCTCCGCAACAGATGGCATTTTTTTGGACTCAACTTTAGATTGTGCTCCCGTAGCCTCTGGAAAACAACCTCTAATCTGCTGAGGGCCTGCTGTTCGTTGGGGGCAAATATCAAGAGATCATCTAGGTAGCACAAGAGACTGCTGAAGTTAAGATCGCCAAAGATACTCATCATCATCCTCATGAAGGACGCTGGACTGTTGCAAAGCCCCTGTGGCATTCTGTTATACTCGTGCAGGCCTAATGGTGTTGTGAAGGCGGTATACTTTTTGTCCTCCTCATGCATGGGCAAGTTATAAAATCCAGACGTGAGGTCCATGGTGCTGAAGACAGCATTACCGCCAAGGGCAGCCAAGCAGTCCGATTGATGGGGCAAAGGATGAGCATCCTTGATAGTTCTTGCATTCAGCCATCGAAAGTCTGTGCATATCCGGAGGTCGCCATTTTTCTTCCAAACCATCACGAGTGGAGAAGCATATTCACTCATTGATTTCCGTATGATTTCCTGTTCCTCCATCTCAGTGAGAACTTGGCGCAGCTTTTGATAATGGGCTGGCGGCACTCTGCGATATGGAAGACGGAAGGGACGGTCGTCAGTGAGGCGGATCCTATGGGCAAAGCCCTTGGCTTCTCCACAGTCAAGATTATGCTTTGAAAATATATCCTGATATTTCTCCAGCAATGTCACAAGTTGGAGCTTGGTGGAGGGGCTCGCTTCACAATGATCAATATCGACATTTCCTAGACCAGACTTCTGCAGTCTGTCTTTCAGGTCACCGTTGTCGTCCTGTTTCACATGAGTCCCTCCAACAGAGCCAGCATCACTCTGACAGGAACCCTGGAACAGTGTGAGATCTTCAGCTGCAACACAAGTAGAGACGTCCGCAAGCTTGCTGTTCCTTTTCAGTGTGAGTGGTTTGTCTGAGATATTAGTGACTTTCATGGGAGTCCAGCCATCTCCCCATAGCGGTGTTACCACTCTCCCCACCATAATGCCCCGAGGCACACACCTGGAGGTTGTAGGCTCCACCATAACTGTACTCCCAGGTGACTTGGGTATATTACTTGGCAGTCTTCCCCACAGCAGGTACTCTTGTTTGGGAAGGAGAGTCACCGCCTGAGTTAGCTTCACTGTCCCTACTTTTCCTGGGACATCTTCACCCCTCCATCTTGTGAGACTGGTCATAATTTCTAGAAACTGTTCGCCATCTGGAGACCCTTTTGTGTTGCTCGAGATAAGTGTCCAATAACTGTTCTCGTTTTTCAGCTGATGCAGTACGTTTCAACATGTTGGTGCCTACTATTATGTCGTCTTTCTGACCAGTGATCACCAGAACTGGGACCATGCACTTTACCCCATACAGACTTAGTTCCATGTCATACATGCACTTGGGGCGCACTTGTACTCCTCCACAGCCAACAAGGATGATATGCTGTGAGAGTTCTTGATGTGGGGTCAAGACGCTATCCGATAGTAGTCTCTGCTCTGCCTCTTCACTTATCGTGCAGGCCATTGAGCCTGTATCGAGGAGCCCTTGCAACTGAGCACAGCCATTAACTGTCACCGGTGCGTGAAATAACTCACTGAACGTCTCAACTCTGTGAATATTCTGAACAATTACCGTGCAATTATCAGACATTGCTTTACAGACATTGACATACATCTCCTTCAATTCTTCACTTTCTTCAAGGGTTGAATCTTCAACACTCACACATCCCCTTTCCGTATGTGAGCTATCTAGTTTAAACTGGCTCCAACTTGCTCAGAGTTAGGTGGTGTGTGCGCTAACTGTGGCTGAGCGTTAATTCTTGGCCGGCGCTGTTGGCATTCTCTCTTCCAGTGGCCGGGCTTGTAACAGCCCATACAGAGGTTCGCCTGTCTACAGTGTGCAGTAGTTGAATGTTCGGCAGACTGACAGACTTTACATCTACTCTGAACAATGGCTGCTGGCCCCCTGCTTGGTGGCACGACTGCTGTTGTGTGTGCCGTCTGCTCTAGCACACGGTTCAGCAAGCCAATGAGAGACTGCATGCAGATGCTCTCTGTCTGAGGAGAGGATGGAAGCCCCATTGCCTTTGGGTAACCAGTAAGGTCTGTTGGGTTTTCAGCAGCGACTGTCTCTGTGGTTAATGCCTGAGCATGTGCACCAATGTTCTTTGGCCGATAAGATTTGGCTTGACACTTAGTTCTAGCCTCTCTCTGATGTTCAACGAGGTGTTCCTGAATCTCATTTGCTGTCCACTTTTCAGCTGTTTTGCACTTTAGGACACTTGCAAGAGCGGGGTCGGGACAGTGTTTCACCAGCATCATCGTGACTTCGTGAGAGGGGTCCTCAATGTTTCGCCCCTGCCTTCTCAGACACTCATCTGCGACATCCACAGCCTTGTTCAAGCGTATCCAATAGTCCATGGGACTTTCTCCGGCCAGAGGAAGTGTGTTATAGAAATCTGCTAAAGGCATAGAGGAGTAGGTTAACTCACTGAAATGTTGTTTCAGAATATCAAAGACGAGCTTGGAGTTCTCAGCTGGCTGCAGCGATGGCATACTGCGCAGGGTAACTTTAACAATGTCTCTAGCCTTTCCCATTAGTCTTGACATTATCTCCTGGGAGTGCTCTTGCGGGTGTACACCCCTCTTATTCAGGTAAACGCTCATAATCTCTTCCCACTCATGCACTGTGTGTTTGTCTGTTCCATCACCCCTGAAGTACGGCGTACTTCAGTACTTCAACTTTGCACAGTACTAACTTTACTCCTGTCATGTTCAAATCAGACTGTCCATATCCTAAGTTCAGGCTAGGCGTAGGAGTGGTTTGGTTATCTGCACTACCAACAGATCTCTGTAATTGGCTAGCAATGTTCTCTCCTATTTCATGAGCTAACTGTGTGATGAGACTCCCTAGGTCTGCAGAACTCACATGTGAACTAGACACTGGCTGACGTGGAGAATGTTCATCTGTTTGGGTGTGAGTGTATGAAAATGCGGGACAGCCCACTGAACTAACGCTGCTTGCAATGTCTGGAGCATCTCCTAAGCTACGCATGTGTGGTGCGGGGGAATATTCATCAGTGCGTAAGCGTGTGGACGAGAGTACAGGTCTGCCTAGTATACCAGCACCCCTAACCGGCGTGCTCTCCACCATACTCATAAACCTGCCCCTCCCCAGGCTTACCCCTGCAGCATCTCCAACACTAAATGGTGTCTGCGCATCCTTGCCATCAGCCATTTTTTTTTTTTAAATAGAAAGTTGTAATAGACTATGGTAATGATATGTGAATCACCAGAACATGTGAATATGAAAAAAAAAATGGTACAATGATAGAAGTAGCTGAGGTAAGCAATTAAGAGCTACAATTTACACATTAATGTTTGCCCTTATACTTGTCAACGTTCCGAAGAGGTTCCTACTTGTCACAGCAACCACCGGCGATCACCCTGGCGATGATCTGAAGCGAAGATATCCGGGTCACGGCACCAATGTAGCCGGCGCGGTCTGCTCGTTGCCGACTACTGCGTTGTGTTCCGGTGCACTGAAGACAACACACTGGCGTACTTGAAGGCACTTTATTGTGTACAACTCTCTCAATCTGTTCAACATCAAAGAGAGAAAATGTTCAAAACTCTACCCTCGACCAGAATCCGCCTCTCCCAGCCGAGTACAATGCAGACTGCGTATAATCACATTCAAAAATACAAGGAATAAAATACAACATAATTGGAAAATAAACATAGCATCTGGTGCATATCTTATGTATGTGTCATATTCATGTTATCTCTGCCAAAAACTCTGAGCTTTTAGCCTTTATATTAATACTGTGCAACATGACATAAACCATCTTTCAAATAGGTAATACATACAGTAATATGCACGAAGCAACATGTAATCCTTCACATTTGAGCTTTTCAGTGCCATTAAACACTAATCAATACATGAAAACATTTTAAATGAACACATTTTTAACCTGATATAGGGAATACATACCTGTTCAACATCAAAGAGAGAAAAGGTTCAAAACTCTACCCTCGACCAGAATCCGCCTAACATAAAAAGAACAACGTGAGCTTCGTCACAAGAGGATAGAATGATGATTGCTAACTTACAGCTAAACAGAACACGAGGTTAGCTAAGTTAGCAATTTCTCAACTCTCAAAAATGGCTAAATTCACGACACAGCTTGATTAAATGTACGTACACTCATCATATAATATACATACAAGTTACTATGTGCACTGAAACGTTTTAGTTTTAACAGGTATATCAAGTTTATATCACGCCGAAGTGAACACATACCTCTCCCAGCCGAGTACAATGCAGACTGAGAAAAGCATGACCTCCCTCCGCATATAACCAAACCAACTCTAGAGGGCGCACTTACACAACTAACTCTCCCAATATCTGTAGACTACACGAAATGCTGAACAATACAATATTTTGGTGAAATCAACTCACAAAATAAAATAAAAAATAGAAAATGAACGGTTGCAAAAATCTGTAATTCTTTGACCTGTTACACGAGTCAACTGCACTTGTATACTCTCATTGTCATTTTCACTGGTCAAATCATCCTGTAACTTCATTGGAGAATGTGTTGACCATAGATCCTAGATCTCCTTTTGGCTGATCTCACTCTAATCTTCTATCTCCCCAGGGTTGTATGTGTGTGCCCAGTGTGGACACCAGCTGTTCTCCAGCAGATCCAAGTACGAGCATTCCTCCCCCTGGCCTGCCTTCACTGAGACTGTCCTCCAGGACAGTGTGTCCAAGCACGAGGAGAGACCTGGGGCATTCAAGGTGAGATCCTCTGTTTGGGAGTGGAGTTGCATTGGACCAGAGTTGTGAAGTGTACCCTAGGTACAGATCTAAGATCAGCTAAGCTTCCCCTTCCCCAATCTTAACCATTAGTGGGGGAAATGCAAAACTAACCCAAGATCAGTGTCTAGGGCAGTGGTCACCAACCGATCAATCACGATCGACTGGTCGATCTTCTAGGCATTCCTAGTCGATCACCAAACATTTCTGTAGAAAATCCCACGATAAAGGCTTGCACTCCTTTATTTATTTTTGTATTCGACTTTGTGCTTTTGGCGGAAGGTGCACTTGATTCAGAAGCCCTGTGCGCCGGGTTAGCAAAGTGTTCCCATTTTAAACCATTTAATTTGTCTGAGGGGACAAACTCCGCTTACCCTGCGGACCAGGAGAGCTGTGTCTAAATCAAGTGCTCCTACTGTGCTAGCCAATCAGATCGCTCAAATCACCTAGTACAGATTCCACGACCCCACAGCAAAGTTTGACACTAGCCTACGTTAGATTTCATAACTTTTAAAACCATGACCAGAGAGAAACTGTCAAGGAATACAACAGAGCTGCTGTTTTTATCAGTAATTTAATGTTTACGTTTTTATTCAACACTATTACAAAACATAAATGCACTTCTCCCTACTTCCACTCGTGCTTCAGCTGCAATGAATTAGTAGCCAAGTGTATCGATAGCCCTGCATTTTATTATTAGCAGCTCGTCATGTCTATTTTAATATCAAGGAATATTTCACTTTCTCTGGTCATAGGAACAACATGAATTTGTGCATGAGGCAGAAATAATGCGGTGCGACTTGAGTTTCGCCATCAGTGGGTGGACATTGACCCTCTCTTGTCAGTCTCACCGGAGGAAAGGAGAGAGCAGGACCATGAGAGGCGGACCCTCTGCTGCTCTCTCCCTCCCTCCACTGAGACTGACCATCAGATGCAGGTACAATTAGTACAGTAAAATAAAAAAGCGAATTATTTCAATTTATGCTCATCTGTGCCTCGCAAGTGATACAACAACTGATCTATTTTGTTATCAAAGCTCGAGTTTTGAAATATAATATGGTCTGAGAAGAACAATATTGGCAGGCCAAGCATATAGTCAATATGCTGTGATAATGTATTAGGCCTACTTCACAAATGTAATTCCTACAGATTTGTTTTTATAAAAAGTATGTAATGTTTAAAAAAAATCTGAGCAGTTTATCTCGGCTTGCTTTTTGACTGCGATAGTGATCTTGACTCAGAAAAGGTTGACCACTGGTCTAGGGGCAACTTAAACTTACTCCATAGGAGCATCCCTCTGTTGACTGTTCATTGTTAAGTACTTGTCTGCTTGTGGTCAATGCAATGATGAGCCAATGTTCATTTTAACAGGATGTGTGTAGAGTATTGCATTCCATTTCTGCATTTGTAACCAGTGTTTCATTTTGAACTTGGGAAGGCCCTAACAATCATGTGTTTGATAAGTTGATTGTACACTGAACAAAAATATAAACGTGTTGGTCCCATGTTTCATGAGCTGAAATAAAAGATCCCAGACATTTTCCGTATACAGTACACAAAAAGCTTATTTCTTTCAAATTATACACAAATTTGTTTACATCCCTGTTAGTGAGCATTTCTCCTTTACCAAGATAATCCATCCACCTGACAGGTATGGCATATCAAGAAGCTGATTAAACAGCATCATCATTACATATGTGCACCTTGTACTGGGGACAATAAAAGGCCACTCTAAAATGTGCAGTTTTGTCATACAGCACAATACCACAGATGTCTCAAGTTTTGAGGGAGCATGCAATTGGCATACTGACTGCAGGAATGTCCACCAGAGCTGTTGCCAGAGAATGTAAGTTAATTTCTCTACCATAATCCACCTCCAACGTTATCTTAGAAAATTTGGCAGTATGTCCAACCGGCCTCACAACTATATGGCGTCGTGTGGGCAAGGTGTTTGCTGATGTCAACGTTGTGAACAGAGTGCCCCATGGTGGCGGTGGGGTTATGGTATGGCCAGGCATAAGCTACGGACAACGAACACAATTGCATTTTATCGATGGCAATTTGAATGCACAGAGATATTGTGATGAGATATTGAGGCCCACTGTCGTGCCATTCATCCGCCGCCATCACCTCATGTTTCAGCATGATAATGCACAGCCCCATGTCGCAAGGATCTGTACACAATTCCTGGAAGCTGAACATTTTCCAGTTCTTCCATGACCTGCATACTCACCAGACATGTCACCCACTGAGCATGTTTGAGATGCTCTGGATCGACGTGTACGACAGCGTGTTCCAGTTTCCGCCAATATCCAGCAACTTTGCACAGCCATTGAAGAGAAGTGGGACAACATTCCACAGGCCACAATCAACTCTATGCGAAGGAGATGTGTTGCGCTGCTTGAGGCAAATGGTGGTCACACCAGATACTGACTGGTTTTCTGATCCACTCCCCTACCTTTTTTTTAAGGTATCTGTGACCAACATATGCATATCTTTATTAATCCATAGATTAGGGCCCAATGAATTTATTTATATTGACTGATTTCCTTATATGAACTCTACCTCAGTAAAATCTTTGACATTTTTGCGTTTTATGTTTGTTCAGTGTACATAGGGTTTTCAGAGTTTTATGAATGAAAACACTTATTTCTTGGTAAAAATGTAGCACATAGAATTGAGTATACTATCGTATGGAAAGATGGAATCTGATAGTTGTGTGTTTCAGGTCCGATGTGGGAAGTGTGGAAATGGACTGGGTCATGAGTTTGTGGGCGACGGGCCAAAGAAAGGACTCTCACGTTTCTGAATATTCAGCAGCTCACTGAAGTTCGTCCCTAAAGGTACGGGTTCACTTAAACTACGTTGTCACGGAATGTCAAGCCAATTTGATTAGATAGGGCTATTTCAACATCACATAAGTAAAGGCTTTTTATGTCTCTCGTTGATACCTAACCAATCTGACTGAGCACACATTAACCACTGGATAGTTAATGTTACACTTAAAAACTCTGAACCAAAATGTTGTCCTCTCTCTCTCCACAGATAAGGTAGATGGACAGTAAGGTGAGCAGCAGGGGTATGGAGTCACAGTGGTGGTAGAGCAGTAGGATTCTCTGGAGTCTCTGCTGCTGAAGGTGTGGAGGACAGTGGATGAAGTGTCCTGTGATAAAGCCCACTCTGGGACCTCCAGGACACTGATGGTCAATGTCTTCACTGTACAAGGACAGGGGAACCAAATAGCCAGCTACATTACGCAATAATGCACAATCATAATAGAACAATACTACACAATCATAACACAGACGCACAAGGAGTCACACGGTTACACAAAGATAGCCTCTTTCATTTAATCATTGTTTAATTTTTATTTGAACATTGTCAGTGAAAGGGGGGGATCACTACGTAGCCTTCATAGTGTTGAATGTAACTTCAAGATGTCCTAATTTATATACAGTAGTGCTCTGATGTATGGCTCAATCTATCAATGTATAACTATGTGTTAATCAGTTCTATCAATGACGTTGTGAGCCTCTTAAAGATAGATTTTATTTACATCACTGTCTATCGTCTTACGGTCACAATGTATAATATGCAAACAAAAAGAGAAATAAAGATATACTTTTATAGAAGATTACATTGTTTGTTTATATTTTTATGGGCACAACCTAAACAAGTGTGTCATGAAAATAGTTTCTCAGCCATCTTTATGACAAACACATCAATCATGCCAGTATTCTAAAGTACTCACCTCATGAGATTAGCAGACCTGATAATACTCTATCGTTAATATATACTCAATCAATACTCGGGTTATAATACGCAATGAGAGATATCTAGCTGTGGCATTGCTGAACAGAACAACTAATCTTGTTCCACCTCTGTTGTCCAATATACTGTCACAGTAAGAGTTTTTATTTTTTATTTGATGCATTATACTCCCACCTTGTGGCAGACATGAGACCATGCATTATACAACCGAACGGGCTTGTCATTTGATCTGGCAATGAATGTGGGCTAACATGCTCTGTTAACATGCAGGAACACACTTCTCCTGAATCATTCTAGTTTTATAATAGTTGTAGGTCAACAATACTATAGCTTCTAAGTCCCATCTAGGTTTTCTGCCATGAAGGAAATTGATAAAATGTAATATTGTTTCTTCTCCGGTGGAGAGGTCTACAAAGACTACTTCCAACCTGGTACAGTAAGGGGGCAAAATGACCAGCTGCATGTCTGACTTGCCAAACAGTTTGGTCAGGAAGGATACAGCAGCTTATTGTCTTTACATGTTAGTGATTCTTCACCAACAGTGTTTGCTTGAAGCACTTTACTCTGGCATCCCCCCCCCCCCCCCTCCACACCTTCAGGAGTCTGTGCTGCTGAAGGTGTGGAGGACAGTGCATGAAGTGTCCTGGGATAATAGCCTAAAAAGTTGTTTGATTGTCTTTTATAACACATAAGCCAATAGCCATCTATTAGACATTAAATACAGTGCTACTGCTTTTTATTAAATACAAGTCATCATGTATTACAATGAAGCACTGAATTAATGCATAATAATTGCCTCTGTTAAAGTTCAAATCGGGGACTGTCTGCGTATTTTTATTGTTTTATCAATGTTTATTCCCTTCTGAATCTCAGTCTCTTCAGCCAGCGAGTGGGTCTTAGTTTATGATCTGTAGTAAAGAGTGACTTTGGTGTCGAATTACATTACATAGCCACTTGCACTGGAGGCTGGAAAGTCCCACCTATTTAATTCGCTGAAAGGCCCGTCACTTCTTGGCAGACAGATACTCAAACGAAGCACAACGCAGGAAATCTATCTGCATCCACATAAACTAGTTCTGGCATCGTTCTATGACAAACACAGAAGGTTATATAATGAATTCAATAGAAGGAAACAGAGAGAGCGAGAGAGAGAGAGAGAGCGAGAGAGAGACGGCCAGTTCCTTAATGTATCCATTGGCTGTATTATACAGCCCAAACATTAAGGAACTGACAGTCTCTTTATCTCCTCTCTCTCTGTATTCTTCTATTAATTATAGGTAGCCTATTATTTAATCCCTTAGCCAAGTGGGAAGGGGGGACACATGACAGGCATTCATTTGTTTTAAGGTATTATATTATATAAACCAATGGTAATCTATAAGGCATTTATTCAGTGATTTTCTTCTTTGTCAAATATATGTGTTTATTCATTCACAACTAGGATATGATGGGTAACACTTTATTTAAAGGGTCTGTAATAAACCATCAGGTGAATGGACAAGACAAAATATTTAAGGGCCTTTGAACGTGGTATGGTAGTAGGTGCCAGGCTGGATTTTTCACTTTCAAAAGATCCTCTATGTATCAAGAATGGTCCACCACCCATAGGACATCAAGCCAACTTGACCCAACTGTGGGAAGCATTGGAGTCAACATGAATGCTTTCAACACCTTGTAGTCCATGCCCCTGCGAAATTGTAGCTGTTCTGAGCATAAAAGGGGCGGGACGTCAGATTTTCTGTTATGTTTTCTGTGTTATAGGTGGCAGAGATGCGTCAATCAGTATATTGGACTTTTCTGTGATGTTCCCCAGCTCTGTGTTCTGTCGAATTCCTCCCCCTCCTGTTTACAGGGAGCTGCTGGCGTGGTGTAATCTCAGACGCTCTTGCTAGAGGCTGGTCCTCCCTTTTTTACATGACCGGACAATACCCAGGTGAGTCACACTCGATAAGTCCTGTGTATGGGGCTTCAACCAGTTGTCTCTGGTCAAAGACAGGGGTTCAGCACTTGGTCTGGGTAAAGGGCTAATGCTCTACAGGCTAGACTCTCAGTGCTCCTTTAAGTGTGCCTTTAACACAGTTACCCCCGAGGCCCCCTTTGGTTTCCTGCTAAAGCCCACCATATGGTCTGGTAACGGGCTACCTATGGTAGAGCACCTCAAGCTAAGGTTGTTATCAGTGTTCCTTTTCTTCTGAATACTTTATTCAACCAATAGAGTAACTAGTTAGTGAAAACTAGTAAGACTTCATGTTTGGTTCCTGAGTTTCACAAATGATAGTTTTTTTCAATACAACTTGGTTCTTTCAGAAGAGGTTATTTGCTTCTCAACTCTCTTTCACAAAACTACAATTGCTTTTAATAGTTCTATCTTACCCTATAGCTTTCCTCATTACAACACTTCAAGGTGTCAATGCCCCAAATTCTGCACTCGTCTGGCAATTAAGCCCACGACTTCCTCAAACAAAGTTATACAACACATCGTTACCTTCACACGTGATGCTGTTAAACAAAGTTAGATAACAAATTTCCCCTTCACACATGACGACGACCCACGGTGATGTCTCCTCCAATGTCCACCTGTTGTTCAACAGCTCTATCAGCTCTGACCCAGGGCATGAGTTCAACGGGGTGCTTCCATATAAGGTGAACTTCCACCCTCCGGCAGAGGAATATCTGTACACGGTTGCTCCGCACCCGACACTTCTTATCTGCCTTTAACTGGGTCATGCTGTATTTCAGCTGCTCTGGGCTGGCTCTTCTTCTTCTGCTGCTGCAGTTTTTTCTTCTTCTTCTGCTTCTTCTTTGTTTTACGACCGGCAGAGTCCTGTTGGGGGACTGGATGAGTCATTAGGTCAACAGGACATGGTCCAATCACGACAACCCCTCCATGGAGTCATCCAATGGTTGTGAATCCTGTGACCTTGCTTCGTTCAAAAACAATCCCTTACCCCTACCGCCCATAGTCTCTTCATGTATACTGAACATAAGTATAAACGCAACATGCAACAATTTAAAAGATTTTACTACGTTACAGTTCATATAAGGAAATCAGTCAATTTAAATAAATAAATTAGGCCCTAATCTAATGATTTCACATGACTGGGAATACAGATATGCATCTGTTGGTCACAGATACCTTTTAAAAAAGGTAGGGGTGTGGATCAGTAAACCAGTCAGTATGTGGTATGACCACCATTTGACTCATGCAGCACAACACATTCTCCTTCGCATAGAGTTGATCAGGCTGTTGATTGTGGCCTGTGGAATATTGTCCCGCTCCTTTTCAATGGCGGGAACTGGAACACGCTGTCGTACAAGTCGATCCAGAGCATACCAACCATGCTCAATGGGTGGCATGTCTGGTGAGTATGCAGGCCATGGAAGACCTGGGACATTTTCAGCTTCCAGGAAGTGTGTACAGACCGTTGCGACATGGGGCCGTGCATTATCATGCTGAAACATGCAGTGATGGCGGCGGATGAATGGCGCGATACACCACCCCTTCCCTGTGGGCCTGAAAGACCATAAATGTGGTCTGCGGTTGTGAGGCTGGTTGGACGTACTGCGAAATTCTCTAATTATGGTAGAGAAATTAACATTACATTCTCTGGCAACAGCTCTGGTGGACATTCCTGCAGTCAGCATGCCAATTACATGTTCCCTCAAAACTTGAGACATCTCTGGTATTGTGTTGTGTGACAAAACTGCACATTTTAGAGTGGCCTTTTATTGCCCCCAGCACAAGGTGCACATGTGTAATGATCATGCTGTTTAATCAGCTTCTTGATATGTCACACCTGTCAGGTGGATGAATTATCTTGGCAAAGGAGAAAGGCTCACTAACAGGGATGTAAACTAATTTGTGCACAACATTAACCCAGATCCACAGATGATGCAATCTCTATTGCGCTCCACACTGCCCTTTCACACCTGGACAAAAGGAACACCTACAGTGGGGAGAACAAGTATTTGATACACTACCGATTTTGCAGGTTTTCCTACTTACAAAGCATGTAGAGGTCTGTAATTTTTATCATAGGTACACTTCAACTGTGAGAGACGGAATCTAAAACAAAACTCCAGAAAATCACATTGTATGATTTTTAAGTAATTAATTTGCATTTTATTGCATGACATAAGTATTTGATACATCAGAAAAGCAGAACTTAATATTTGGTACAGAAACCTTTGTTTGCAATTACAGAGATCATACGTTTCCTGTAGGTCTTGACCAGGTTTGCACACACTGCAGCAGGGATTTTGGCCCACTCCTCCATACAGACCTTCTCCAGAT